AGACAACCCCGTAACAATATGCGTTTTGTACTGCTGTTACACAGCACAAAACGCATAAAAATGGACACTCCACTCGTTTGCTGAGATTTACAGGCCAAAGGCCTGGACATTAGCAACCGCAAAGAACGTAAATACGAAGTTTAGATTTGGACAATGACAATCGAAAAAACGAAAAGCAATGTAATAGGATAAATCAAAAACGTCCTATCGGTAACGAGCAAAGTGAATTTCGCAAGTGTACATCGAATGTAAAATATGGAAATGAGGCCAGGCTATGACTGCTGCTGTTAGCAGCGATAACAATCTTTTTGATTCGCGCGCTCCGTTCCAGAAAGTATTAATCATGGAGTGGCGGAAAGCTCCTTGATAAAATTTGCTATTACAAAGCTAACACCCGCGCTTAAACGAATCGCCTTAGCGACGTTGTTACTAAAACACATTAGTCCAAGGGTAACTGCTTGCGCCATTTTGTCTTTTGTTTTAAGCCGAAATCCCATTAAACATGCTTAAAAAAGCGGCACTCTTCACGCTAGCATAATTAGTGGTGCGAATCAGGGACACTGGCGCGACCATGAATTTTTGCATGCGGCAGTATGATCATTAATATTAAAAACGTTCACTGCTTCATATTTTGATATATGCTCCCGTACTGAAAAGTTCTTTTTTGCCCACCTGCGTTAGGCAGAGATCTGGGCTGAGCCGGTGGTGTGCGTCTCGTGAAATTTAAGCTTTCTAACATTTCTGATCATCGTGAAAGCAAGATGCCGACGATTTCGCAAACAAGATTTTGATACGTCCTGCACGGACTGCTTTACTGTTTTAGAGTCTCGCACAGACAACTAACGTCTCCGTAAAATTTCAGTTTTCTAGCCTATTTGATTTCCAAGAGAGACCGGTGCTGGCAATTTGGCAAAATGAACATTTGATGCGCCCGAATACGAAATATACGTGTAAGCAAAAGCTCATTTTACGCTTACAGGCCCGAACGTAGACAGCAAACATCACAAATAAAGCTTTCTACTCCGTCTTGTATACGAATTGGAGAAATGCCACCTGTGGTCCGGTTTCAACTTCCACTTACACGTGCATGAAGCTTTGGCATGCTCCAAAGCCAAATTTAATCTCTTAGATCATATACTGACAGAAAACATCCTCCTGAAATTTTGGCTTTCTGTGCTGTTCCGTACTGTTTGAATTACGAAACTGTTTCCGCTAAAAAGCTTGTCCAATTTTTTCTTTCAGACGTTCGTAGGTGAGGTGTAAGCATAAGTGAAAGTTCATTTTACGTTTGTGGAGCAGCACATGAACCGAAAACATCCTCGCAAAATTTCAGCTTCTCTAGCTGATGAGCCAAAAATGAATGACAAAATCCAAACACATATACACCAACAAACTTTAATCAATATCCGTTTTTGCATTTCAACAACGACGTAAAAAGATAGCAGCGCTTTAGTTAGCCTGAATAGCAAATTTTCGTTACTGGGAGACTTCAACGTACTAGCAAGGGGAACCATTCGCAAGTTTCAGTGAAAAAAAAAAAAAAAACCCAACCCTGCTACGATATTTGATGCACTTCGATGGTAAATTCTTGCTGAAGTTTGTCAGGGAATAAATTCTGCCTCAAATTTGTCACTAAGGTAACTTTCAAATAACAGAGCCATCAGAAGTTTTACTAGCGGCGATTACTTTGCAAATTATCAGCACTGTGATACTTCACGGAATCCTCGCTTCTCGAAATAATATTCCAGAAGCTTCTCTCGGAAGCGCTTATTTTTGATGTTTATCGATGATTTAAAAAATTATTAATAATAAATGATACTCAGTATCACCGCACTATACGTTACTAGTGGTGAGTGATGTTGATTTAACAAAACTGTATTGTTGGACACTGTCTTCACTTTCGGAGGGGATGCGCTCACAATTATCAAAACTGCTACAGAGAGATCAATTTTAGGGCAGCTCG